GGGACTAAACCTGCCCAACTGACGCGCCGGGAAGCAAGGCTGGGGTTCACACGGACCCCTCTGAATCCCCCATTGCGCGGTCAACTGCGACCCCGTTGGATGAACCACTCGAGGGTCGAACCACTGGAACAGCCCACTTGCGATCCCTTCACTAAGGACTAACGGACTCTCGCAAACTGACCCCCGGAAGCAAGCGTATTGATCAAACGAATCCTGCGGGAATCCGCCCACCTGCGTCAACTGCGATCCGTTGAGGTACACCGTCGAGACGGGGGCGATGGCCTGCCAGCCCCCACGCGAGTCTCCTCTTCCAGCACGAGCACCTGCCACCTCGGCAGCCGTGGCCGCCGCCCGACTCCGCCCGCCGTGCACGTTGGGCGCAGGGGAGCCGAGTGCGCGGCGCGGCCAGGTGGGGCGCGCGACCTTCGCCGTGTCCAGGGGCAACGCCGTTGGCGGCAGCACCAGGCGCCCCTGCCCCCGCGGCGGCCGGTCCGCCGCCAGCTCTCCGGTCGCGGTGAGCGCGTGCTCCGGGGGCAAACAGGATGTGAGGGACCCTCCGTTCATTCCGGACAGGTTATCATTACGCAGCGTCCACGGGTTGGTTTGCCACCTTTCGCTACCTCGGGGGCAAGCGGACAGCGCGAAAGGCCACGTCCGAGTGGAAATGCGTAAGGTGGGTGGTAAAACTCTATATAGTTAGCGGTTGGGACGCGACGAATGAAGAATATCATTTCCGAATTGCGTGTGCGGCGGGTTTGTAAATATTGACAGAAAAATCATGCGTCGGAGGAAACGATTGGACGGGGATAAGGACTTATTCTAGGCGGTTGAACCAAGGAATAGGGAATTGACAAATTCGGGAACAAAATGCCTCGGGCGTAGCTGAGTGTATAAATGAAAGAAAATCGTCAAGAAAGCATGACAGGGATGGAAGACTATTCTAGCGGTGAACCACGAATGGATGTATCAATTCGAATCGTAGGCAGTTAATATGACAGAGAAATCTCGGAGAACATGACCGGGGATAGAGACTTATTCTAGCGTTGAGACCAAGAATGGAATGGTACAAATTCAATCCTTAGCTGTGTATTAATGAAATTAGAAATCGTCGAGAACCAGGACAGGGACAAGAGCTTATTAAGCGGGTGGGACCACGAGGGAATGTACAATTGAATCGTAGCGTGTAAAATGAAAGAGAAAAATGCGTCGAGCACATACGGGGATAAACTTATCTATCGCTGTGGACCACGAAATGAGGATGATGAACAATTCCGGGAGAATGCGAGCGTGTTGTTAAAATGATAAGAAAAAATCGTCGAGAACATACGGATAAACTTATTCTAGGGCGGTTGGACACGAATGAGAAAGTGCAATTTCGAAATCATAGCGTGTAAAATGAAAGAGAAATCAGTCGAGAACCATGACGGGAAGACTTATTCTTAGCGGCTGACCACGGAATGAAAGTACAATTCGGAATGCGTAGGCGTGTAAAATGAAAGAGAAATCGTCGAGAACATGACGGGGATAAGACTTATTCTAGCGGTTGGGACCACGAATGGGAATGTACAATTCCAATCGTAGCGTGTAAAATGAAAGAGAAATTGTCGAGAACATGACGGACTGTCACATAAAGAAGGGGAAAAACGAAATTTTCGATGTTATTAGCTTAGTTAATAAACTTAGACTCTGAAGTACGATATGTACTAGAAACGCGCCGCTCCATCCAACTCCCAATGCTCTCCTCTTCCAAAGGCACCCATTGCCTCGCATGGAACTTGCTGTCGGCGAAGTGAAACTCTGCTATGCACGCCTTTCCAAAACCATTTATCACTCGCTTGCGAGGAAGCATAAAATTAAATCGTTTAAAATATGTGCTGATAGAATGCACACATTAAACGATGTGCATTATTCTTACGTTCTTTTAAAACATTTATTCTGAATATATCTCACTTCCCTCTTATCTAAGGTGTAAGAGAGATTATGTTAAGGATAAAGGTCAGATAAATAAAGAGGATCCGCAGGTGTTAGAAGAGATTCCTACATTTTGCCACTTTTCTCATGATTGACGTCTCTGGGGAGGGTGCCGCTCAAGGGTCCTTACGGAGCAGTCACCACTGTGAACGTAGAATGAGAGGTGGAAACGATAGCATATTGTTTTGTTGTTCTAGCGAAAATGGGGTGATTTAATAAATCAAAATATTTTGACCTAAGGTGCGTTGACTTACAAGAATGTTTTACGTTAATCGCAAAAGTCAATGTCCGGAGAGTTATCATGAAGTTGGACACATTTTAATCTTGTGCATCAAGGTATCCGAGAACCTTGAAGCGCTATCGCTTCGTAACCATCATTTTGATCGGAAGAAATAACTCAAAGCTATTTTTAAGAGAAAAGAATGCAAGAGAATGGATTAATACACTCTTGTAAAACATCTATTGTGAATCACTTACCATTGCCTAAGGTGTAAGAGAGGTTATGTTGAGGGCAAAGCTCAGATAAATAAGGAGGACCCAGAGGTCCTAGAAGAGATGATGGACGATTTTCAGGTATCGCGTAAAGTGCTGCAGGCCAGAAGCAAAGTTCCTGCAACAACCACAAGGAAAATAATTCAATGGAAAAAATTTCGAGTAATTTGAATAAATTATTTATCAGTGACATGCGAATTGTTCATAAACTTTCTTTGCGATTATTTCTCAAGCAGAACTTCCAATTGAACAAAAGAAAATTGGGCTTACTTTGAGAGTTTTCAAACTTAAATTGCGTAAATAAATTTTAACACGTAATTAAATAATGAAATTACTAGGTAATTACAATTCTTTTAAATACTTGACCAAAATATGTTTTTCAAGTTACAATGAAAAAGCAATCCAACATTGGAACAATCATTATTCTTTTCAAGTGACATTTGCTTAACACGTGAACATTCTCAAGCATGCATGCCAAAATTGTAAACCATCAATAATATGTTGAAAATACTGTGAATGAAGCTCTGAATCTGACCTGTGTGAGACTGTCACAGTCAAGGGTTTTCCCATCTGAGGGCAACAACGTGACGTTGAGCCGAAGTTCAGCTGATGGAACGCCAGGTTCAGTGGCAAGAAGTAGAACATTTGTCTGCCATTCTCCTGTTTGGTAATGGAAGCGTCCATTTAGATGATTAAAAATAGTGAAAATAACTTGCAAATGAAGTCAGGTAAATAATGATAGCAATAATAACAATGGTGATAATAACAACAACAACAACAATAATAATAATAATAATAATAATAATAATAATAATAATAATAATAATAAGCCCGTGGCGCCAACGGTTGCGGCAGCCGTCGTCGGCGTCGAGGAGGCTGCATGTTCGAGTCCTGCGTAGGCATGGTAGTTTCTGTGATCGTCCCATCACCCATCATTATCGTATCACCTCATTATTCATAATTCGAAGTGTAACAACCTTGTCTTATCAACGGATACAGCCGTAAAAAGCTGATCCCCATAGTTACATCTCTCCGGGCCTTGGCAGATAAAGTGAAACGTTGCCTATATGCAAATAATAATAATAATAATAATAATAATTATAATAATAATGAAAAATTTTAAATTAGCAAAACTACTCTATGATTTCCAACAAGGTAAGAAATACAAAGATACAACGTAATACAACAATCTGGCTAATTGACATAATCGTCAGAGAAATAATTCTCTAAACATGTTTCGCAAGTATTTATTTATTCTCAAAGTCATCACATTACGGTATTGACAAAATAATGACCATTCTTTCTTATCTCTTACAATAACACATTAATCCTTCCTTGGTTGAAGATCATTGTATCGACGATTGATACTCGCAAGTCAGTGTCGTTGAAACTAATAAAGCACGGATGGGCAACTGACAAAATTTCACACATACATTTCACGCTAAGAATTATTAAAAATTTACTTTCCAAAGTAATACGATCTGGATGAGAGATTGGGAATTGAGCTTTGTCCAACAAACTAATACGACAACAAAAACTCTCTCGCAAGGAAGGAAAAAAGGCCAATATACAAAATAATTACAACCACTGTTTAAAAACGCTCACCATCTTTCCGGGCCACGCCGTCAGCCAGACGCAGTTCCCCGGAGCTGGAGCTGACTGAAAGCACTGTACCGTCTGCAGCCGGCTGGCGCAAGCTGTATGCCACCTGAAGTAGATTAGGCACTCAGTCGCAGTATATCGTATTGCATCGCTTCTCATTTTCCTACTTCATCGTATCTCTTCATCTCCCAACCACCTTAATACCCTTCAGACAACACATAACGTCCTATCCGATTCTAACATCTCTCAATCGATGCCACCATATTCTATCAGACACAAATGGCTTCATACCGCCTCATAAGACATCCCATCCCATTATATTCCGTCATTAGTGATCGCTCACTTGTCCGGCAGTTGGCTCATAAGCGGTCGCTACTATTGTTCCCGTATAAGAGTTTGGCTCAAAGTTTGGCGATGAAAGTACGTACCATTTCTTGTCAACACACACCAACCTATCTCCCTTCATTGTATTTCACCTCATTACATTATATTATGTCATTTATCCACTCCAATCCACCAACCCATTCAAACTTAACTAAGTCCCTCCCATTCTAACGCAACTCATTTCTAAAATAATTAATTCCAACCAAAGGCAAACCATTCCATACCAAGCTATCCAACCGAACAATCCCAACCAACCCATCCAACCTAACCATCCTAACACATAGTACCAGCCCAACTCATTCAAACGATTGCAATCTAATCCATCCCAACCTAACCAACGCACTCCAATCCATTCGCTCCTATTTCAACCATCAGAATCGACTCCAACTGAACCCATGGAAAACCAACGGAATCCGACGGGACCGAACCGAACGGAACCCAATGGAACTCAACAGAAACCAACCAACACAACCGAATAAAAGGAAACCCAATGGAATCCAACCAACCCAATGGAATCCAACCAACCCAACGGAATCCAATCGGAATTCCATCGAAAACCAAGGGAATCCAACGGAATCCAAAGGAACCCAATGGAACTCAACAGAAACCAGCCAACTCAACCCAACCGAACAAACAGCTTATATTTATCCCAACAGAACCTATCCAATGCAACCGTATGTGATTGTGCTCAATCGAGCACAGACGAGTAAATGTTCACCTGCCCGGGCGCGGGATCCGACCCAGCGCCGCCAACCGCAGGGCCAGAAGTGGCACAGCGGCGGAGGAGGTGACAAAGGCGGCCGGCGAAGGCCCGGTGGCGGGGATGGGGTAGGAGGAGGGGGAGGCGAGGGCGTTGCGGCGCAGGGAGCTCATGCGCAGACCAACCAACTCATCCAACCCATCCAACCTAACCAACCCAACGAACTCAACGAATCCGCCCAACGAACCCAACCAATTCAATCAATCCAAAGAACTCAACCAACCCAACTAACTTAACGAACCCGACCAACCCTACGAATCCAACAATCGCAACAAATACAGCTAATTCAATTAACCGGACGAACCCGACCAACCCAACAAACCCAACCAATCCAACCAACCCAACTAACCCAACCAACCCCACGAATCCAACCAACAAAATCAACAAACCCAAGCAATCCAATTCATTCTCGTGCATCTCAATCAAACCAATGTGATGATATATCGAATCGCAGCATGCCACACCATTTCGTCCTACTTCCATTGCAACACGTGCGCCTTCGTGCTCAATCGCGCCGACCACTCACCTGTCCGGGCGCGGGCTCCGACCCAGCGCCGCCACCCGCAGCGCCAGCGGTGGGCGCAGCGGCGGAGGCTGCGGCGGTGGGCGAGGGCCCGGGGGCGGCGGCGGGCGAGGACGAGGAGGAGGAGGAGGAGGCGGGGCCGTCGCGGCGCAGGGCGCGCACGCGCAGAAGCAGCGCGCCGGCCGGCACCTGCGGGGGCACGCGCAGCGCCAGCTCCGCCAGCGGGAAGTACAGCCCGCCGCCTCCGCCCTCCGCGCCGGACGCCGCCTGCGACAGCAGCGCTGCAACAGCACCGCGCCCGACGCCTCAACTTCAATTGTTCAGATCAAGGCTCTCGCGGTCCGGCAACTCTCCATCAAAATTGGGGGAAAAGCTAGAGGTTGCTACTACAGGATGCGCTAGTGTCGCCGGATACAGCTACTAGCAAGGCTCGCCAACTTTCGCACCTAAAAATTGGTCGAGAAATACAAATACACTTTGATTATGAGCAATTTCTGAAATAAATTACAAAAAGAGTTAAATATTATGTGTTTATCTTCTAAAATTCATTTATTCATCA